CAGCTGACAAATTACGATTTTAACACAAGCGCACAGTTCATAACAATTAAGCTGTTCTTCTGTATTGGGGATTGTTTATGGTCCAGTGTGTAGGGTTTAATGGCATCTAGCAGTAATGTAAGCCATTTGATACTGGTCCCCAAGGGGAAAAAAGCAATAGGTTTATCTCTTCCTTTGTTCGAGGTGCAATAAAGGCACGCCAAGTGCACTGAACTTTGACTTGACTGCAACGCTTAGCAACACTTCATCACGGCTGCGATTACAATGGTTTGATTTGAACAATTACTTCTTTTTTTTTTACTTAGTTGTTTGTTTTAACTGTTGTGATTAACGTCCCCAGTCTTCTTCTATGTTGTGTTTTTGCCCTCTACCGTAACCCAATCCCCTTGAGAGACAATAAAGATGAACTGAACTGATTGCTACTGAACTGAATATCCCTCCGCTCACCCCGCTCGACTCTGTGTCAGAGAATATAAAGTGGCCTTCATGTAACGTAAACACACAAAGGCTATGTCGAGACCTATTATTTGGTTTGTCAATTATGGGCTACTATAGAAAATCAGTGTGGAAGAGGACTCTATCTCTATATGTGAATAATGCTTAGTTTCAGCTGATAATATGCTATTGAAAACTTGTGAATACGGTATTGTATTTATGCAATGAGATTAGGCTAAATCCTAAACAATGGACCTTTAAATGCATTTTTTCAAAGGAAGCACTGCATCTAAAAATATTGGAGGACTTGGGAAAAAAAATGTTGCTTTCAATGGTCAAAATGTGTCAAAGAGAGGCAAGGTTGTCCTTACTTTTAGCCATGGGTCATTGGGTCAAGCTTCAAAAAGTCTTGATAGATTTCATACAGCACTAAGGCTAGCACCACCAAAAGAGATCATACAGCTGTTTTCAGATGCTGAGTTGTCTTGAGTAAGCAAATGTAAGTGTAGAAAACCGTGCCCCTTTCATTTTGTAACTCTTTATGTAGTTTTTAATGAACAATGTATGAAGAGTCATATAGCACTTAATGTTTTTATATAGCAGTTTTAAACGTTCTTCTCATAAAATGTAAGAAAGTTGATAAAGGGGGTGTTTTGCATACAAAAAAGCCAATGTGGTGTTTTAAATCCACTGAAGCAAAAACTGCAGTATGTTTTTCTGCTTGTTTTGCTGCAGCTGTCAGAGCTGTTGCTTCAGTCCAAACTAGATTCAACTTTTTTTAACCTCTGGGTCTTGAAAACAGACCTAGCATACCAGCGACAGAAGAGCAGAACATCACACCAATGAGTAAGAAAGAGGAGAAAGCTAAGAGAGGACAGTTCCGAGATAAAGGTTAGGAAGACGAAGGATAAGTGAGAAAGACAGTTAAGGAGTGAGAGGCAGAGAGAAACAGAGAGAGAGAGAGAGAGAGAGAGAGAGAGAGAGAGAGAGAGAGAGAGAGAGAGAGAAACAGAGAGGAGAGGAGAGATCCATAAGCTGCCCAGTTTGGCTTCAGTTTAGAGAATTGAAAAACAGGAAATCAATAGTGGAGGCCACCCAGGCAGCCAAATAATGGAGGCTTTAGAGAGGCAAAAAGGAGAAGATGACCACACATTAATAAGGACAATGCTATTTGGGGGGGAATGAGACGCTTTGGAATGTGTGGTTTGGTTGTGGGATGAGAAATAGACAAAGAATGGGTTCTCTACAAATGTGCATGCAATGAAAACATCTTCACATTAAAAAAAGACTCATTACTTAGTGCAAGTAATTCAAACACAACAATGTAATGTTGTTTTCCTTTTGGCATCAAGTCATATAGCTCTAATGTGAAATCAATATGTGCAAGATTGAACTGAAGGAAATGTAAAGGAAAATGAAAAGGACAGAAAGACTTCACAGTATCTGCAACCTATCTATAAATGTCTGCAAAGTCTTGAACTATTTGAGTAAGTGTCTAATTTGACTAATATATAATGTTAGTTGTAATGAATGTGAAATTGCATGTGTGTATTGTTATAACATTGTGTGACACAGGGCATTCAATCAGGTAAATAAGAGCTGTGTGTACAATATATCTCTCTGTTTAATTGACACAAAGTCAAACCACAAAGGTATACACACCGCCGGTAACACTCAAGATAAAAGCTTTGAAACGTGCAACCCTCTCTGCTTGTATCCTTTACACTCCTCTCACTCTGTAATAGAGACCTCCCAATTTGTCAGTAATCCTTCATTCAAGTCTCACCCTTTCCGCTGGTTTACCAGTAATTGAAGAGAAGTGTGCAGTCAGCTTCCTCCTTAAAGGTCACATGGAAACAAAAAAAATGTCCGACTGACAGTAATGGCTACGTCGGGATTGGATCCTGCAAAGTCGCTGCTAATTTCCCCCTGAAGCTGACCAAATGTCAGCAGCACGCCTGTGAGAGGCTCCTGCAGCAGAGTGTCAGTAGTTAAAAGACAGTCAGGACTGGAGTCATTAGATATGGTATAACAGGGGATTATACCTTATGTGTCTCATAGAGTTACACTCAAAGAATATTAAATAATCTCAACACAGGATGCATGCTAATAACATGCATAAGGCATTGACTCTAAATAGGATGGAGTGATTATTTAATGATACAGTATACTAGTTAACATAGGAACTTGTACTTTCCCACTGTGAACAAATATGCAGTCCTCTTAAATAGTGAAAAGTGGAATTCAACCGCCTTTTACTTATATGGTATGTTCATGGCTTATTTCCAATTGTTGCCACATTTGAAGCAGAACAGTATTTGTTGTGTTTAGGTATTCGGTGTTTTGTGAAGATCTGAGGTTCTTGTAATCTATTTGCATCATCAATCATGGACATTGTCTGTGTATGAGTGGATGTACAGTAATGCATCTGATGTAATTACAAGGGCTCAATATATTAAATAACACTGATACATTTCACATGGGTTACACCAGCGCTGCCTGGAAATGTGTGTTTTGTGACACATGAGAATGAAACTGATCCTGTGATTACTTTGGACATTGTTACCTTCTATTGCATTTACTGTATATCAGAGATCAATCTCCACTAATGGATGGTTCAACATGGTGCAAAGTAGGAACTAACACGTCATAGCTTTCCTAACAAATGTTTACCCACTCTTGTACAGTAGAAGATGTAACAGTTATGACAGTGCGGAGAATCAAAGTGTCAAATAAAGCTACAGTGACGGTGTGTGTAACTGATCGAGGCAGTAAGAATGGCAGCTTCCTTGTTTGTTGAGCTGTAAGGAGATTACTTACCAACGGCCACAACATCTTGTCCTCGAAATCCCTCTCTAAAATAGGCAGCCTCCAGCCAATACAAATCTCAGCCTCCTTGATACCACCAAATCCGGCACTACTCCTCCCCCGGTGTCAGGATATAATCAAGACAACATAAAACACAATAGATTGGAGATACTGACAACCACAACAAAGAGACAGCTCTAAAAAGACTGAGGGGGATTTAAGAGATTAAAAGGAAAACCTTCCTGTATTTCAGCCGACCCAAAGGAAAAAGAAGGTTCATATACTCTTTCTAACTAACTGGGAGACAGTGCAAGTAAAGAAAACATTGATGGTTCATATAGAAATTATACGACTCAAGTCTATTTTTTCAAGATTTCTGGATCTATTTTTGGCCGATCGGTCTCAGGAGATGTCCGTGTGCATCTCAAATGACCCAAGGATGTGCAAAACCAGGGCTCAGAAGCTCTGGAGGAAAAATCGACATTGGATGTAAAACGAGCATTACACAAGGACACACAGGGCAGGTTTTAAGAGATCTAAAAGCTGTCTGTAACCCAGCAGGGCTCTTCAAAGTTTCAACCACCTTGACAGAGGAGAAACTTCTAAAACAACTTCTTCACATTTAGATGCTAACTTCCTTACTTTTCTCTCACTTTGAGCAAGGAGGAGGGTGAGAGATTACGCTCAGCCTGGCAGCCGGACAATTTCAGTGTTTGAAGCTCAGCGCAAGTTCAGGCAGGAAGACCTATCACTTCGTATTGCACGTCATGGCAATACTCGCTCCCTTCACTAAATGATAGGGAGCGCCACTCCTCAAGCTAAATTATCACTTCCCTCCATTCACAAGCCTAATTATCACACCTGTTAATCCCTCTATATATGCTCTCTCCTTTTCCATCAGCTGTCTTTCAGGTGTCAACGCGCAAGCAGCAGCAGGGCTTCGTCCCAGCTCCAGGTATATATATTCATCAGCTCCGCAGTCTTGCGGATTAAGCTACAGGCGGCGTTCCCCAGTTGGCTAGCGGTTTTAGCCGGCCACCCCGCAACCCGGACACGGAAGGAAATCAAGGCATCCGGCTCCACAAAGGCAAACTTGANCCTAACCACTTATCACCACCACCAGTGTCTAGACCCAGGGGGTTCATCGGAAACGGTTTTTTCCCTTCCCGAATGATATCCTACAAAACCTGGGCCTAATCGCCAAACACCATTTCATTCACTTGTTATAAACTGTCATCATTATGTTTCATTTATATAATGTGACCCGATAATAAACATGTATTTCATACATCACGTCTCTCCTGATTGAATTGAAGATGTCTTTTGATCATGGCTACACGCTTTCCTTTTCACAACATTAATTAGTGCAGCCGGCCCACAAGACTCTCTGCTGCCATGTGAAGCCTCTTCAGTTAAATGTCTCCATTAGCGAGCAAACATGATCACATGCAAACACACACCCAAACACTCTCAAACACATTTGTTAAAGTAAATGAGATTAGCTTTATAGCAGCCCTCTGTGAGCAGTAAACAGATGTCTACATTACTTTAAAACATCAGCAGGATGTTAAGACATGGCAGAGAGCCAGGATCATGTTGTAAGAAGACCGCTAACCAACCTTACGGCTTACACTCGCATCCATTGCATTTAACCAAAAAGTGTATAATCTGCTAAATCTAACAAAGTGGAAATATATAAATAAAACTTCTCTGCGAACAATCCATTACGTCAATAAGCACACAACAGGTGTTCACACTTTGTCTAATCCAGTTTATTCTTTTCAGTAAAATAAACTGTTGGAAAAGGGTAAGCATTAAGTAAAGCAATGGAAACAAAAATATAGAATTTTTCCACTTTCATCTTCCCATTTTATAACCACATTACAACCAGAAAGAAAAGCAGCTCTACACTTAAAAGTGAAAAGCAAAAAGGAGTTAAATAAGGTTTTCTTTAAAGATACAGAATATTCATTCATTATGCATTTTCTCTTCATCCCTTCCATAGTCCACCAGGAAAACATTTGGAAAGTCATTATTTGCTGATTTTAACTTTCAGTACTCTGCTCGCCCTATCCTCCTCCTCCTCCCTCTCTATAGCAAGAGAGAGGGGGGAGGAGGGGAGACGGAGCGGCTGAAATAAGGAGAAATAGAGCAATCAATAAGGGGCGAGATGAGAAAGTGAAAGGCAGGAGAAGGAGAACGCATGGGAGTTCATCATGCTGGCTGGAAATGAAAACATGGGGCATTGAAGTGCTGAAAACCCAAGAACAGTCTTTTATCAAATCCCCTTCAAAATGTGGATAATTGAAGACAATATTAGAAACCTGAACTACAATAACCATCACCCATCTTAAAACAGGAAGCTCTGAGTGACGCTCTGCCAGCTCAGCTTCAGCCCAAACTCAACGTGTACAGCAATCTTGCCCTCAATGTGAACCGCTGAGAACAAAAAACATAAAAGGTGTGTGTGTGTGTGTGTGTGTCTGTGTCTGTGTCTGTGTCTGTGTGTGTGTGTGTGTGTGTGTGTGTGTGTGTGTGTGTTTGGAAAGCTCTAAGATGTGTGGAAGTGTACAATGTAGACATTTCAGGTCCAGTCATGAATCATACGCACACTTTAATATAAGACATGCCCTGTAAATGTTGTCTTCCTGCTTGTTTGTACACAGCAGCACATGTAAACCTCATGTTGCTGGAAACAGAAGACATGTCCTTATGTAAGAGGGAGTAAAGAGAGAGAGAGACAAAAAGAGGAAGACAGAGGAAATCAAGCCTCGATAAATCACATCCGAGCATTGAACACAGATCCGTGTGCGATCTCAGGACACCAGCTCACTCCCACCACCGTCATGTGTTTGAGTCCATCTCATAACGCAAGTCCTGAATATTGGAGTTACCGACGCGGTGTCATCGTCCACAGAGAAGAAACGTTTCCAGAGTAATCTTAAACCAAACAAAAGGAGTAAAAAGGTGTCTGTAGGGGAAGGAGAGAGGGAGGCAAGTCAGTGAGGGGAGGGTTTAATATCCTGATAACCTGAGGTGGATGATTAACAGGTCTTTCTAAAGGATTATGGGTAGTGGACGGCCAGGGGGTAAGACACTGACTGAAACTGAGTCTGGCTTGCTTCACAAAGTCCATGCTTGGAGTACAAAGCAGCTCTGTCTGATTTTGAGGTAAAGAGCACAGCGCCATAGCAGAAGTGTACACAAAGGGTAACAATCCTTTTCTCCCCCTTCTTTTCATTCTTTGTTTTCATTTTTTGAGGTAAAGAGTATAGTTATATAGTATAGAAACTGGCTTCTGGGACAAACACCTGTGCAAAGCATTTGATATCTTCTCATCGTCCTTTTCTTCCTTCGTACTCTGCTCACACTTGAGTTTTCAGGAGTTGCAAAAAAAGTGAAGAAATGGTATGTTTCCTGTTGCTCTGTATTGTTCTGTCGTTTCTGGGTTTGGATTTTCCAAAAGGCGTCTTAGCAGCAGGGATATGATCAAGCAGAACACAAACGAGTGTGGGTAACAGGGGCAATTCATAAGAGCGAGCATAATTTAAAAGAAAAGTGTGGAGGTTTGTATCCAAAAAACCTGCAAAAATGTTGATAAACAAAAATGAGAAGAAAACTGAAATTTCAAATCAGATCCCTGTTGGTGCTAAGACACCGCCCGACCACGGAGACTCAGGAGCACTCCTCTCCGATGCGCTGGCAGGAGCGGCCCACCTTGCGGTCGAGCTTCACCATCTTCAGGACCGCCTCCTGGCGCCCCCGGCCCAGGTGGTCGAACAGACACTCGTGTTGCTCCGGGAGCCGGTGGAGCATACAGAAGACATAGCCTGCAGGGCGGGAAGGGGGGTAGGAGAGGGAGAGGGTTAATATGCTTAATGTCCATTTCCTTTAACTGCATTTTACTTACTGCAATAAACCCTATTTAATTTACATTATTTAATTTCATATTCTGTTCTTGTACATATCCCATATTCTATTAACTTTTAGCACTACTTTTTATTTTGTATTTTTGTATTTTATTATTTATGTTGTTGCAAACCTTTGAACCTTTGAATTGCTGAACGAGACACAGCATGCAGAATAGAGAGTAAGATATGTAGACAGTACATAAACCATGCATCTATACAAGAGTCTATTTATTTGAACATATTGAAAAAACTGTTGTTAATACAAAACGTTAAAAAACAACCCTGTAGATGCAAATACAGGTCGATTTTGCAAGTCTTTTTCAATAGCCACGGGCTGATAATATGTATTGCTTTCCAACCATTAAAGGTACTGTAACCAGACAAGACATATCGTTGATAGCCTCCTCTTTTGACTCAGTTCCACAAAGCAGAGTACCCTCATCTCTCTCATTGACTCCCTGTCTCTACTGTATCACTCTAAACAAAAGGCTCTGCCGCTGTAGGAGGCTCGTTAAGCTCACAGAAGCTCGTTAGCTTGCATCGTCTTAAATTCATTCATTAATACGCATAATAACACTGCTGGCACTCAATGAGCGGTGATTAAAAGCCCAGTATGACAGCTGGTTGCTATGCAATTAAAAAACGATGTCATTACAGCGCACACAAATGGAATGGAAAGTTGTTTAACATTTCATGGTTTAAAAATGAATGCTAGGCACGGTCATAAACCAAGTAAGGGGTGGGCAACAGTCGAAATCGGAACTTTTTGTTGTACTTTTTGTTGTACTTTTTGTACAGAAAAATGCTTTGATGACGAATAATGATGATTCTTAAAGCACTTTTTTTTAGCTGCCTGAAACTCATTTCCATTACAGCATTTGTCTCAGAAGTAACTGCCCCCACAGAAAAGAAACTTCCTTTCAAAAGGCACTGATAAGATATTTAGCACTCTTTAACTACAATATTTTCAAAAGTAAGGAAGAACAAACTGTGATTTTGTGGTTCCTCCATTAGGACTACTTATCAAACATTTAACACCATGGTCACTTCGGATGATTTATTTAACTGAACCAAGAATCCAGCCGAGTTGTAAAACATCAAGAGGAAATGTGGTGATCATTGGAATGGGCTTTATACCTAAACTTATGTGTGTTCAGTGAGCTTCAAGTTTCCAAAGTTTTATTGCATAAAATCCAAGCTGTGTTAAATATTTATTCTACCTAAGGTGAAAATGAAGAAAAGCAATTTCATAAAAGTAGCTTAAGAACACACACACACACACACACACACACACACACACACACACACACACACACACACACACACACACACACACACACACACACACACACACCTTTAAACAGTTATTGTAGGAAAAACATGAATTAATAAACGTGTTATGTAATTGAGTATGTGTTGTTGTTGTGTGATTACATTTAACGGTGATTGAATGATAACTTACTCAATTTACAATGCATTCAAAATACCACAGCTTAATATCCCATACTGGAGTCAGACAAGCAACAAAGTTTACTGGTTATTGAAAATGAATTGTAGGGTTTTTCTTATTTGAGGACCATTGCAAAATGAAAGAAATGGAAAACTGCCAGGCCAATGCAGACTTCTGGATGTCAGAGGAGAATCTGTATGATCTAATGAGCTTTTTAAGTCTTTGTGCCTTCGCTCTCTGACATACTTACAGTCAGAGAGGGATGAGTATTATAGTCACTGTGTAACAGCAGAAGTCACCGGCTGTGACAACATTGGATCAGATACTCCGCTCCATTTTTTCTCTCTCATTTATTATCTGAGAATCGTTCGTGCTTTCAACTCATTATCAGACCTTCTTGGCTTACGCTGAGAAACATTTTGCAGACCCATTAGCAAAGTAATCTGCAATTACCGCAATAGTCAGAAATCACTATAATTGCCACCATTTCCCCCTTCAGCGTGTAAAAAGCATGTTTTCATTTTTTCAGTATTGGGCTATTAAGGATGGATGGTGAATTAGGCAGCGCCTGGTGGAAAAAAAGGAAAGTCAATTTCCAATTTAGAAATGATTGCGTGGGTTTAAGCAGATGGTCTTTAAGAAGTGAAGAGTTGTGACTTTTTAAGTTCTTTGATTTGTATGCAAACAAGTTGATTAGCAAGCCAAGTATTGCTTTCAACTGCATTAGTGTTCGTGGTAATTGGCTTATGTTTTATGTGCTATTTGGAACATTCGGGCTTTCTGTAATGCTCCCCTAAGGCTGGCAAAGGCACTCTGGTCATCGATGTTTCCATCAACAGACAAACACATGCTCAGGTAGGAGATGCATTTCATTGCACTGGATGTAAAATGAACTAACCTATAACCAAATGAACTAACATCTTTCATGTATTTGAAACGAAATCAAAAACAATAATAGCTACCAAATGCTCTTGTGTGTGAGTGGGCCTGTGTATGGAAGTGTATATATCAGACCATGAGTTAATATACGTGTTATAAGCTATGTTTATACAGAGTTGTATCATCGTACCACAGCGACAGGAACCCAGCTCTTGCTGAACCAGCTCCAGTTTGGTTTGGCAGCGATGGCAACGTTTGCGGCTCCGCTGTTTGGAGCCACTGCGAGACGAGGTTGATGACGATGCAGACATAGATGACGATGAAGATTCCTCACCCTCTGGCACGTCCCCCACTCTTGCTCGCTTCTCGGGTGAAACATCGCTTTCTGACTCTGAGGCTAAGAGAATAAGAGAAAAACATGGCTGTTAGCTTCACGCGGAGCTCCATAACTGCAACTCTTAAATTATGTTTTGGATTAAGATTGGGCTGAAATGTGTCTACAATCCAAAAGTCTGTCACATCTCTGTATTCACTACTGATAGAGAAAGATGGTCTACTGAATATTTGTGTAACAATGGCAACAGAAAATATCTATCTCTGGCAGAATATACGCTGTAAGTAATGTGTTAGAAATTGACCGATTGATGTCACCCCAGCATTACCACGTGGCAGTGTTAATCGAAACAGCCAATTATGGTTTTCAGATTTAGACAAATAGATAGCTATGAAGAAATCTGTATTCTGTTGTGGAAAGATATAAAAGCATGTGAAGGTTAGTCGACCTCCAAGAGAAGGTTTGACATAATGAATCTAGCAATATACTTACAGCCAAAGCTTTTTAACCCCTTACCCATATAATAATCTTAAAAAGCATTAATCTCCTGTGTGTCCGGGATAGCAGCTTTTAACCAGAATTTAAAGAGAGAGACACTGACGACCTTCATAAATAGGCTCCAAAAACTTCAATTTAATATAAACTAGGAGAGAACAGATGTTGGCACGCTGGGGCAAAAACAAATCTTTATGTTAAATAAAAAGGTGCTTTGGAGATGAATGATTATCCTGCATTAAATTACATTCCACCTAGCACCTGAGACAGTCGTGTGGCGAGGTTCCACTGGTCGGCTGGAATTTAAACTCAGCGTTTCTCATCAATCCTGCAGACTTTTTCTCTGGCCCGGCCGAATGCTGATCAGCGCTCAATAAATCTCTGAGAACTAGGCCAAGCTGAGCAGCCAGATCCCCCCCCAGCCCCCCCCCATCGATCCCTGTATGTGTGAGAGCATGTGTGTCGGTACATGTGCGAGTGCGTGTTGTGCACTGCCTCCTGTTATCCTACTAAATCTCTGTGGCCAATTTACACCAGGGGAAATGTCAAGTAGTTTTTTTTGTGTGTGTGTGTGTGAAATATTTGAACTATAAACTGATTTAATAGTGTAATAGCTTGCACTAAGGTGTATGCAGGCTTTAAACTCAAATACCTTTAGATAGTCTCAGGCACATGGATGCGTGTGCTCACATGATCCGGCTGCATTAGACCGGGATCAGCATGTTCACACACCATCGCTGAGCTTTGCCTACTCTGCACTTGTCTTAAGGCATGTGCCAGTTTTTCACGTGTGTGAGTGCAGTAGGTTGTGTCACCCTAGGGTCAAAGCAAATCAAATAAATGTACACTAGAAGAAAGTGTGCAGTGTCTAAGGTTAGTTTAAAGAGGCTTTTGGGGCTTTTCCCTTTCCTGTAATATGTAATATAGGGCATGTAAATGGTCTGCAGAGGCTCAAATCCCCCCCCCCCCCGCTTGAAACGCCTCGATTGAACTCCTTCGCTTACATCCGCGACATAGTGACATGACTAAGTAATACGTGCGCTTCCATTGGCTAGCGCTCCAACACATTGTACGTGATAGGCTAAGGGGCGGGACATCTCTAATCACAACACAGCCGACCAGCTAACCAATCAGAGCAGACTGGGTTGATTTTCAGACAGAGGGTGAAAAGAGGTGCTGCAGAACAGGAAGTATGAGAAAAATATATATATTTTTGAACATTACAGCATGGAAACATGTCCCAGTAGAGGCACAAAATATGAACATTTAACCCTTTTTTATTTATTATTTCAGTTCAGCTCTCTGCATGCTCTATGTTTTAGCTCTCTCAGAAGTGTGTCATTGTGAGCTGGTTACTCTTAAACAATGAGAAATATTTCTTAAATGTTTGGAAAATGGACCTTATTGTGATGAAATGACAGTGACAACCATTGAGCTACATAGCTCCCATCTGTGTGACCTTCACAATTTTAATCTGTATTGTAAGTCTATTTTATATATGTACTGTATGTATATGTTTATATATTTGTAGCCAACATTTCCCCTAGTAAGCACTTGATTAGCTTTACACATTTTCACAGATACACTCTGTTGCGTCCCCAAATATCCTTCCCTCTGCTGTTTCCACTGGAAGTACAATTAACCTGGCTATTTGCGATCGATCCACTGGCGTTTATGCTAATGGTCCCCCAGTCCAATACCTTAAGTGAACATGGCAAGCAGGCAGTGAAAACACAATAATGGATGTTGTGCCGCGCCTACCTGACTCAAAGGAGCGTTTTTTTGGAGTGGAGAGTGAAGTGAAGACTGTGTCTGTGCTCGATGCTTCTGAGAGAGAGAGAAAAAGGGAGAAACGGAGAAATTATGTGAAGAGAAAATAGAAGAAAAGAGAGGACATAGGAACATTAGTTTCTTACTTGTAAGACTTTGTTGTAATTCATATCACAGGTGTACAATAATATAAAATGTGTTCTGGCTTTATTGATTTAGAACAAGGCAATAAATAACTCAACAATAAATCATCTAAAGAAACAGATTAAATTGCAAACTGCATAAAAGTCCTGAAAATTCAAACTGGAACCACGAACACCAAAAATAGAAGCAAAACAACGGTATACAAACATGATATCTCTGACTGCCACTGATTGACAGATTAAGTTGAGTTGTTAGGTTACTCTAAAAAAAGGGACACAGTTTATAATTGTTACAGCCAGAGGACAGAAATGCTTTGAGAGTCTTCTGTTGGTTGCCTGGATATTTTCTTATTGATTTCCACACGGTAAAAAAACATGACTGGGTTGTGTGAAATCCTTAATAATCCCGTGAGCAATTTTTTTTTGTTGTTGACGCTTTTTTACAGAGAATGTGATAGATATCTGTCAAGGACAGACACAGTTTGAATGTTATCAGATTAAAACAAGCAGAGGGACAGCTGACCTATTATTTAATAGAGTTTAACTTGAAAAAAGAATAAACACAAATTAATGTGTGAAAATTAATTATAATGAAGGTCTTTTTCCTAGCAAAAAATCAGCGACAATCACCTACTTTGTAAAAAGCCCCTGCTGTAACAGCCCTGTTAGTGTGGGCACATTATTTCAGTAAATTTATTTGGTAGCCACTTTATTGTCCTGTCCTGGAACGGCCTCCACAAATAACCTTGTCATTGTACAGCAATGACCGATGAACTGGCAATTGCAGGTGTCCTCTTAAAACCTTCACTTCTGAATGGATACCCTTTCCTATCATTCTCTCTATCTGTGCCATGAGGACAAATATAGCCGGAGCAGGGGCACTGCAGCTGCTGCTCGTAGAAACTGGTAGTTACACAGAAAGGTGCCCTGGACTGAAGCTACACTACTCTACTGCTTTGACCTTTAAAATGAAAGAATGTACATTAAAACACACTTCTAACTGTGGACGCAATTACAAACCAGAGAGATCGCATGACATGGACCTACAGTTCTACAGGAGTCCATCATTTAAAAGAAAAATGGAGGCCAAGATGCCCTTGTCCTAAACAATTTCAAAGACACATTTTATTCCTGTCAGATTACCTTCTGTCTTACCGTCCTGAGCGGGTAGAGATGGCGCTCCCGTCTCCTCTGGCGACGGGTCCTCTGATGCTTTTGGCATCGACATCAGTGTCTGACTAATGTTGCTGTTTGGTTCGTTACAGAAGACGTCTGCTTGGCTACTGGAGCTTGAGGAGGCCTTTGGGGCACAATCATTGTCTGGCTGTTTCTTCTGAATGTCTGTGAAAAAAAATCAAATGATAAGACATTTGTATGCCTCTCTGAAACATTTTTGAGTGCATCCATCAGATATGGGGTGTGGATTGTTTATTTATTTGTGCAGCAGATCAATGAAGTGTGGCATATGGGGAACTCGGGGGCACCTTTCAATTTCATTTCAATATTCTTATTTAAATGGACATAGTTTTCTACTTATATTGCAGTTTGTGATTTAGTAATAGAATGAACTATAGCAAACTGAGTAAGACGGGACAAAATATTCTGATGTGACTTGAGCTAAGACCGACATGAAAATGTTTCAAAGAGTATTGAATTAGTTAGAACATAACACTCCACTTTCTCTCTCAGACTTTCTCCACTTTTCAAGGTCTTTTGGGAACATCTACAGTGGAAAACGTTGTCGACCCCGTCCACGGCACACACATTAGACACAGAATAAGGCGACCAAACAAGCAAACAGAAAAGAAGTACATACCTGAAAAGCATTTTGAGCAGAGATTCTTATTTTTGCTCGACCTGAGAAAAAGAGCAGAGGGGAAAACAAATGTGTTAATCACAAAGTTTGAATAAGATTTCCCAAAAACTTCAGAGCAGGATGCAAAAAAAATGCATTATGCCTTCTGCTGGTAGGTATCCACGCAGCAAGAGTAACATGTTTCAACTTTGAGGCTCAGACATCATTTTTTATTCGGGATCTTGGAAGGGAAATCCAAGATGAAGGGTGGTGATCCAGGCTAGTGTTAAATTATTCACTGAATCCAAAGCTGCCATGCTGTATGAGATTGTCATGGTCTAAGCAGCTACTGGCTTAAAGGCTACATTAGCTAAGGTATGACTTTTCTGCAAATCTTATACCAAACAGGAAAATGAAATAAAAAAAACTCAGTTTACATATTAAACACTATACAGTTATTTCTCCGTTTTCTAAGTTGTACGCAGTGAACACAGTTATTACAGATTAGATATACAGCCATCACTTTGAACCAAATTCAAGCACCTTTCAATATTAACATTCAATCAGATGAGTCTCATTGTTTGTTCAAACAGGCTCACAAATGCTTTCTCTAAATGTGAGTCATAGTAAACTAGTGTTTAGTGAAGAATGACTAGCATTGACATTTTATAGCAGGAATATAGTGTACGTATATTTATCAGGTTGCAAAAACACCACCCATGAACCTATAATCACTACGTCTGTGGTGTGTTTGCTGGTAGGTAAGTGAAGCAGGTTTGCTAACAAACATGATAAACCAGAGCTTTGCGTTTGAACTTTTCAAAACAAAGACTCATTGGAGACCATGTTTTCTCGACTCGTTGTGCCCCTGCTTATAACCTTAGAATGAGTTGAATTAAAATCACATGTTTCTGCATGTTTTACTGTAGTATAGGAATTAGTAGTAGTGAATATACTGTCTACAATAAGTCAACAGTTATCGGTAATATTAAGAATATTCGGTTGTCTCTGTATAATAGGCAATGATTTTTCTATGCTCTTAAAGGTCCCATGTCATGGCCATTTCCACTGATCATAATTCCATTGTTGAGGTCTACTAGAATAGATTGGTTTCTCATACAGCATCTCTGTAAACTACGTGTATTCACTGAATTTCACTCTCTGCCTTTAACGGCTCGTTGTAGCTCCAATAGCTCCAGCCCCCACCCTCCCTGTGAGCACAGTGTGCCGAGCCGTTAAAGGCAGAGAGTGAAATTCAGTGAATACACGTAGTTTACANAACACAGAAAATACCTCCCCAAAACGCCTCGTTGGAGATACATCACTGTCCATTGATTCTCCCTGGTAACTCATGATGTCATGCGTTACCCGGGACCAAATGGACCAATCCGTGGAGCCTTTACGTTACGTCCGCGGAGCCGTTACGTTAAGCCCCCGCTGATTGGTCCAAATTGACCAATCCACAGACTTCCTCATACACACACTCAGTGCAAGCAGCTCTGCTGATCTCTCCTCCCTGGCTGCAGGCTGATAACAGAAATTTGGGATCGCGGCAAAATTCTCTCTGCAGACCCATTCTCACAGCGTTTATCANGGGAGGTATTTTCTGTGTTAGAGTTTTACTCGCTACAGGGTGTACTTTGAGGGTTTGTGACTCTGCAGACCGTTTACATGCAGAAAAACCTTCATAACACACAAGGGGACGGGTAATAACCAGAAAAGCATGACATGGGACCTTTAAGACTTTTAAATCCAGACTAAAAACGTATCTTGTTGCAGCTGCATTTGAGTGAGCTGTTTATATCCACACAGCAGTATGGCTTTTATTCATGTATTCTATTCTATACCTGTTGTGTTTATTTTTATTATCTTTGCTTTTTAATGCCTGTTTTTAAATGCCATTTTATAATGTGTTTCTGCTGTATTTATTCTTAAATGTCTTTTATTTTAATTTGTGAAGCACTTTGAATTAGCGTGTGCTGAAAGGTGCTGCCTATACAATGTAGAGTAGCGTAGTGTCTGAAAATATCAGTATGGTGGGACAAGTTGGTTCAGTTTTGCAACAAAAATGTGTGGCTTTTCGCATGTGTGTTGGCTGATATGAAAACTGCTTAGCTGGTCTAAAGGAAGTAAATGCCCAAATTCCTTAACTTAGGATACCTTCCCCTTCCAATATATGGATTGAGATATTGTTTTGTATAAAATATGTTGTTATGGGACTGATCACTGAAGCCTTGCTGATTCCAGCAGCACAGCTCTATTACAGCAGATGGCTCTTTCTTCTGACAGGGCTCCTCTCTTTTCCTCTGCAGCCCTCGTCCTTACTGTCTGTGCATTGAGCGTGACGGTCGCTGCCATCAGTCACATTCTATTTATTTTGGGTGCTTCGTTGCACACCGTTGTCCTCATTTCTAAATGTAGGGTCAGCTGCAGCCAACCTGAGAGCTGTCTTTCACTCTGCCGGCGTGTGGTCTTGAGTATAAAAGAGAAAGTAGAAAGCAAGAAGAAAGGGTAGAATCACTCGATCAGGGAGGAAGTTGGTACTGAGTAAACAAAGTCATATCCTGTTGCCATCCTTAAAAATCAGACGTAATCAAATCACAGGTTAATTAACGAACCAAACGGGTGAGAAAGGATGAGGAAAGATACATGCAGGAAAGAAACTGCTGAGGGAAGTTTGCACAATCAGTGAATCTCAGAGTTGGCCCACTGCTGTTACTAATGATAATCTCTGATTGGAACATAAAGGAAGATGGGCTCCGTTGCCTTGGTGATGCAGTTGAGTGACAGGAAGGAGCATGGCTTGAGTGGGAGTTAAATATTTTTGAGGGAATTAAGTTCAACTAAATTCATCTGACATGAGCAGTAAAAGTACAAAATAACTTTAGAAGTACAGATATAAGTCTATTAAGAGAGCATTCACAGTCACTTGCTCGCCCACACACAGGGCTGACAGTGACAGATCTATGAAATAAAATAACAACCGTAGTGATCAGCTCTATTATATATTACAAGGGATGAACACATCAAGTAGTTTTGGCCCCTCAATAAAAAAGGCAGCACAAGTGAGTCCATCAAGGATGCAAAACAGCTAGATGTTGTAAATGAAAACCAATTCATTCAATACTAAGCAGTTTTGTTGTGAATAACAATGTCGGGCTTAGTAATAAACTAATTGATAAGGGAATTGCTTGACCAATCCATCAATTACCCACTGCCTTTGCCGTAAAGATCTTTGTTACTTTTCAGCGCCATACATATTCTGCACTAATGTGAAATCCTTACAATAGTTTGGCCCTGTATTAGTATGGATTTAAGAAATAAACATCTTTCTCATGTATCCAACACAGCACATTTCAAACAGGAGACACAGCACATTACAGAAAGTATATTTTGTCAATATCACGAGTGGATTTGTTAGCTTGAACAGAAAGTTATACAGAGATAACTAACCCTTTAAGATCTCTAGGCTATTGCCACCAATGCTATATTGTACATTATTAAACATAACTACTTTATGCCGAATTTTAATTATTTTAGCTTTATCTTAGATTTTGTAACCCCCGTATTGGCCAAAATCTAACAGTAGCAACAAACAGAAACTGTGTATTTAGCCATGGGAGTTGTTTGTTGTTGAATTGGTTCATGGAGGAGATTACAGCCCCATGTTTAATTTACTTTGTGGGACAAGTTCTAGGCAAGCTACACAGACACATACACAAAACTAACAGAGACCCAAACAGTCTACACCTGCTGGGAAAAGGAACATAACACTGATAACACTGAAAACTAGCACAAGCAGATCTTAAAGAACTAGGCTTCCCTCTGATACATATCATCCTATCTGCCAAAAAGAATCATCTTCACGTCCATCAAATAAGACATCTAAAAAAGGCATTTAATGAACTTGCTTTATGGTTCATTTTAAAAGCCACAATCTACAGGTTTTCCAAATGTGCTATAACCCACATTTTGAAAAAGCACTCTTCAGTAAGATCATCATTAAAAGAAAATTGCTGATTCCATAGTTAGAATCTAACTATGGAATCAGCAATTTTCTTTTAATGATGATCTTACTGAAGAGTGCTTTTTCAAAATGTGGGTTATAGCACATTTGGAAAACCTGTAGATTGNCTGCAGGCTGATAACAGAAATTTGGGATCGCGGCAAAATTCTCTCTGCAGACCCATTCTCACAGCGTTTATCAACCTTTTTCTTACTCAATATCAAGCCACACTTATTGTNTCCATCAAATAAGACATCTAAAAAAGGCATTTAATGAACTTGCTTTATGGTTCATTTTAAAAGCCACAATCTACAGGTTTTCCAAATGTGCTATAACCCACATTTTGAAAAAGCACTCTTCAGTAAGATCATCATTAAAAGAAAATTGCTGATTCCATAGTTAGAAAAAGTGAACGAAAGGGATACATAAACATGTCCTTTCCCTATCTTTTTTGCTTCCTCTCTTAAAGATCACTTTGAGACATTCAAGCCTTCTGTGCTAAGGGAGGAATAACAAAAAGGTAGAACAAGCATTAATCTCTTGCTAAATGTCAAATGCTATTATTGTCTATTAGCTACAGAGCACCAATCACAGACATACATGGTGTGCCTGAATGTGCCTCTTCAAACAAGTTTGAGGCGGAAAAAAACATGTAGAAGTCAAAAAGTCAGAAAGTGTGCCGGATGCTATAAAACAACCTGAAGGAAGTTGTTCATCAAATGTAGTCATACATCATGCTGACATGTCTTGAGCTTACAAAGCAACTCACAGGTGATCCCAGCCAATTCCCATTTTTACCCCGTCCTAAATCCAATGACATAACGTAATAGTCCTCTAGTCCTATGGGTGATCCAAGGACACACACACACACACTTTTTTAACCACAAAGCCTGAGAAGGAAAACATCTAACTTAGGAAATGGATTCCTAAACAAAATCCATCAAACCCATAACAGGGCTGCCCCATTTCAAAGGCCTATGCCTGCAGAAGTGTGAGAAATCTAACTTTCTTTTGCCCAAATTTGGCGGGCACCCCCTAAATTCCATATTCCATATTCCATTGTGATTTGTTATGAGACAGCCTCCTGTCAACTAATAAAGTCAGAACATATCATGTGACCACACATACTGTAACAACCAGAAATGTAAACAACATTATTTATCTAATGTCATTCAATGTTGGGTGTTTGCAGTGAGTTGTATACACCTTTGTGCAGTCCCGACTTACTAAACTGTGACAATCTATGAAAGTAAACTATGAAAATCTTAAATGTCAGGAGAGACACCTGACTGGCACCCCAAAAGGAAATCAATAAACCTACAAAAGTAAGTCAAACTGTCACAATACGTATAAGGAATGTGTTCAGGTGCTCATTAATTACTGGTAAATGTTTCACTTTGAGAGGATCATAGATGTGTTCCCATGGGTGCAACATACACACTGTATTGATATATTAAACATTAGCCTGGTACACTGTTTGACAATTCTTGTAGTTAAGAGACACAACTTGAACTGAATCTTTTACTCTTCAAACTTTGCCCAGGTTTCCAGGGTCAGTGTTGATCATAAACTTTTAAATGTTGAACTTTAATAATGTGTTGATGTATGACTGCAGCATAAGTACAGAAGGGGCAGTTTGGGCCTCATATCCTCTGGGTGGTAACTAAAAACTATTTACATTATCAGTAAGTCTGCAGATTATGTATTTAATTGATTAATTTCCTGGTCTTTTAACATTAATAGATTGAGAAAAAGTGGAAGTTATCTTCTCATGAAAATATCTTATCTTCAGTCCAAAACCCACTGATATTTAGAGATCAAGAAAAAAAGTGTTTTACATTTAGGAAAGTACAATCAATATACTTTTGCCATATTTGCCTAAACTTAAAATAATGAATATATAAAACAATGGCTGCACATACATGTTTTTCTCCAGATCAGCACATCTTTTAAGTCAATTTATCGGTCAAGGTTTTGTTTTTGGTTGCTATAGAGAAAATAAACACATACTCAGTAGAAAGCACCTCCAATGCCAATACAGAAGTGGACCTGTTTCTTATCATCAATGAGGGAGGTGCATTTTAGGATCAGGCTTGACTAAGATTCAGGCAACACTATAACTGATAGCAGCTCTGATAAATGAGGTTAACATTTTAATTTTAACAAATAATCTCTGACGCATAGTCTACAATGTGAGTGACACATCATTAACTAACAACTTAATTCAAACAACACTAAAAACAACTGCATGAGCATTTATTCTGCATGTGATGCGGTAAATGCTGGGTAAAAATAAATCAAAAGGACAGATAAGACTGATATTATATTAAGAACGGTAGTGAGAAACATTTTTATTATTAGTTTCAATACCACACATGTTACCTTCTGTCTACAATGTAGCAGTAGATTTGCTCAAAACGGTTGCAAATATTAGGGGAAATAATTAAAATGGCTTGTTGTAAATGTGAATGATGTTTGATAAAGATGAGCTAATAGAATATATTCACCCAAATATACTTTAAATACCAAGAGGGAAAGTACTCCTTATGTAATATATATATTTATTGAGTTACTATTATATCACAGCTAGATAATGTAGAGCTCATTTGAATAACTTTATACTGTTGCTGGATATTTTAAGCTATAAATATTTGAAGTGTATTTAATAATTGATTTACATTTCTATATTAGTTTATAATCTAAATAGTAACTAGTAATTTAGCTGTCAAGTAATGTACTGGAGTAAAAAGTACAGTATTGGCTTGTAAAGTGGAGTAGAGATTGAGAGTAGCATAAACGGAGAATACTCAGGTAAAGTACAAGTACGTCAAAATGGTACTATGTACAGTACTTAAGTGAATGTACTTTGTTGCTATCCACCACTGCCTGGTATCCACCCAGGTCCAGTTTATGGATTAACTGAGCTGTCTTCTGTGCTGTCTGCTTCATGTATTAACTTAATATCAGTGTATTAAACAGTGCATTAGCTTTGTCACACATGGCATATTACCTGAGGAGCTTATCCCACACCTAGCTTGCTTTCTACCTCTTTAGGGGAAGGTTACCGAGGCAGCTGGTGTTAGCAGCTAGCAGTTAATGCTACAAAACAATGGGGAGGGGGTAATAACAAGAAAAGCAGCTCATCCCTGTTTGAGCTGCTAATGCTAGTGGCTAGCGACTCTGCTAGCAGTTGACAGACGAAAAAAAGCATTTGCTAGAAAGACATTTGATGTGTATAGGTGCTTACCCCCAGAAACCACAGTGGCATCGCGGGGGAATCACGTTAACGTTACTCGGAGGCTTGCTGCCCTCGCGCCCCGTGTCCCCCATATCGGTCTTCCGCGTGAGGCTCTCCGCGTAGCAGGTGAATCCGGGGATGGAGTGAGGGCCTTTGCGTTCAGATCCCCCTGTCTTTGACACGTACAGAGGCAATACCCCGGCCAGATTGTCCTTCAGATATGTTCACTAGACGGGGAACGATTTGCCGACACGAGCGGCCACTGCCTCCGTTAGATTATAACAGTTTAAATAGACGGTGAAACATTGGAGTCGCCGAAGCCAACGACAGGCAGAGCCACCGGGGAATCCTGGGCCGATCAGCTGGAGTGAGGAGCGAACCACTGCCGGAGAGGGGGGCTGTGTCGGTAACTGCACAGTTAAAAGATAACTAACATGACAGAGATTAATAAAATAATACAGTTTAAATGATTTTAGATATTACACAGGGTTAAGTGGATCTTGGATTCCGTAAAGGTTTAATTATGATAATTACTTTAGCTAACTTGGTATGATCCGTACACAACTATCTTCCTACAACTAGAAAGCCCACAACTCCGTGGTACAGCATTCAGTAGTAGGCCTACTGTAAGCATAAGATCACATTTCTATTTGTAAGTACAAATAGAAATGTGATCTTATGCTTATACAATAGCATATATGAGAACGTTTTATCCATGAAGTCTTGATGGATAAAACGTTCTCATATATGCTATTGTTAAACCGAAACCATCATTTAGTAGTAATAACATTCCAGCTTTGTCATTACTGATGACCGGTGCTTTAAATAACATGTTTTGCTGCCATCTTGAAGCGGATTTATGTCACAATACACATGTGACATGCATAACAAAGTTTAATATGGAGCATTTCTATTAAACGATTTACAGTAAGTAAATTATAACACTGTGAAAACTTGCACAACACACCTGACCAGTCTAAAAGAGACACAACATGCTGCTGCATGGTGTGTTCTGTGTTGTATCTCTTTGTATTCATTGTGTGGCTCTAACTGGTTTGTGTGTCTCCTTTAAGTCATTTTGCATCTCTGTGGTGGTTAACATCTCTAATTTTTTGTAATTTATTGAGATGCAAACTACTACATAGTATTTTTAAACTCTTCCTAGTAATTTTTGTGTCTCTCTGTGATCCTATCTTGTGGAAGTTTGCATGTCTTTCAACTACTTTTTTGTCACTTTGCATCTTAATGTCCCAGTCGGCAGTTACTGTGATCCATGCATGCTTTTTTCGCTATGAAATATATGAAGTCTAAATTTCCCCTTTGAGAAAAGGTTTATTGTAATGTTTTTCACATTATGACTTTTCATAGGAAAACAATATCCTCAATGGAATGCAGCCAATACACCTACAAAGCAGAGTCTCTTCCAGAAGAAATGTTTTTGGTTTATTAAATGATCTTTGGCTCTTCCTTGCTGGAACTAGGATGTCAATGTTGGCTCAGCCGGTCGAATGGGATGTCCTTCAGTCTGTTTGTCCAACAATTTATTACTCTGCAGAGTAAAAACAACTTGACAACTGGCCTTGAAATTTGGCATCCGTTTATCAAGTATCATCGTTCAACAAGGAAGAATACCAATAATAGTGTTCATTCTAGAAATGTAATTGAGCAATAACATCATAGGTAACAATTTCCACAAGATAAATTGAAACACTTCTAAGCCTTAACTGTACTATACTAACAGCCTGCTTACATAAAACATGTCACATGCTAAACATCAGCATACAGTGCTGTTTCAATGGCCCTGGCATTGTTCATGCTTGCTCACTGACATGTCTTTCTAAAAGGCTCTAAATACAACAGAGCGCCTGTGCTCTTCTATTTTGACAAGTTACAAATCCTGCTGTTAGTAACAATGCATTTTAACCTGCCTAATGACTAATAATACAAAAAGAAAATACACACAATATTTTGAATGTGAATTGACTCTTTTTCAGGTAATGCCAAATGCAGGCATGTTTGTCTAACACTAAACCACCCCCAAAGGTACACACCACAGTATTGATGGCTTTTCAAATTGAAATCTGAGGACCTTATGAAACATCAATTTTGAAAAGAGTATGTTTTATACAATAGGTCACGAAATTGCTGCTTAAAATCATTCTCAATCAATAGGTTTACACGTGAGACAATCATTTACTCCTCAAAACATCTGCAGCTTGTTATGACTGAAGAAACTTAGATTTGGTATTTACCAGACATCACAGATGATTACAGCTGTCTGTTTTCTAGCTTGGGAATGAGGGCTGTTTCATGTTCACAAATATTGATGGTGCTGTCTGCGGCAACAGAAATAGCATCAATTAATCCTGTTTTTCACCTCAAAATGACTTTCACAAGAATGCAACACTTTACTTTAGTGCCAGGAGGTTTGGATTCCCCTCAGCAAGACCTGCCAAGAAGCAGCTTATGTCTGCAGGGAAGGACAAGTGGGCCCTGGGTGGAATGAAGATAGATAGCTGATAGTTCATTAGCTAGTTAGGCACAGGGAGGGGTGTACCGCAGAGGATCGCAGAATCTCATTTTTCAGTGGCGCTAAGAGCCCATATTCCAGTGCAGGGCCAAACAATGCAAAGGCTTAGCTGTTGTTTGCATCTTGATCTCAATCACATATTTTCTTTATTAACCTCTTTCCGCCTAAAGACATTGCATTTCTGAGGGTATATTCTTACAAATAAACAGATAACAACAGTAATTCGGTGTATATTGCCATGGTAAGACTTTGGCCCCACAGTGGAGAAGTGGTTGTTGCTTCTCCCCACAGCCTGAGTCCAGCCTCGGGCTTGGTTGTCCTCCAGAGACTTTCAGAACACCACTTCAAAGACAGATCCCCTCTCCTAACATACCATACCCTCTCTCCTCTCCCCTGCTATAAACACAAGAACTTAAGGAATTAATTAGACACTGGATCAAACACGGGTTAGTAAATTCAGCTCACTGAAGAAACCAGGAATAGTGTAATCACATGTTGGGTGTTGTATCACTTGTCATGTGTGATATCTTTAATATGTATGTGAAGACCTGTATTACATTTTAGATCTAGCATGAGAGGTAACACTTGACAGGCTCTTGACCCTTCTCCTATTCACTAAGGGACATGGCTAGGGATATTTTGCAGGCTTTGTTCCTCACACTAAGGGACAGCACTACAGCTCTGTCAAATTGCTGGGGAAAAACGTCTTTGATATAGCAACGTCTCCTGGAAGGCCTTCTCTCTAAAGAGAGTTTCTGCCATAAGGGCAGCTCCCAAATTCATTTTCCCATGGCTAACATCAAAGAAGCAGAAGTTCTGATAATCTGCGAGACACAATCCTGTTTATGTTAAAGGTGAAAAGGTGGGGTGGTTTTGCAGTACATTTGATTTATGTTGGGGGTAACTTAGTATGGCTTAATCTCTATCCAAGGTGTTACTTCTCCATCCAGCCCCAGTGTTACAAATATAATATCTTTATTTATAGTAACAAATCATAGCCTGCTCTGAGCATGCTCGAAACCCAGCTGCGGTCGCATTACTCCATGTGTCGATAAAGAGAGTTGATTCATGGCTGCTAAGATGAGAGGCAGCCTCTCTGCAACAAGCTAAAGATGGATTGTATGGGAAATCTATGTGAACACATTTGTCCATAAATGAGAGTCTGTCTTATCTTTTAATGCCATGCCTAGATAGGCAGGGCGGGTGTTATTGACTGGAGGACAAGCAACATGTCACAGCTTGTAGATTTGCTCCGGGTGGGGTATATCAGAAAACAAGATTACCTATTAGTCAGTTAAGTGTTAAAACAGCTTTATTGATTTGAATAAGAGGGCTATTTGGACTTTGGATATTTGCTCTTCAGTATATCTGAGAGTGAAACATCCTGATGGCCAGGTTCTAGTTATATTCCATAAAAACTGAATGGCATATCAATCCTGTCGGTTGAAAAGAAAAACTAGAGTGGAGGACAGCTGATTTTGCCTGCTTTTTATTATGATTCAAGCTTGGTCCTTTTTGTCATTCCTCTCGCTTTTTCGCAAAACATTTGGCAATGTGGTGTAATGTATTGCACTTGCTGTGTGTAGATTCAACACGGATGATGATAAGTACGCATGCTTTTTTTATAAATATGAGTTGCCCAAATGCTCATTGACAGATAAGGAAAACCACCTTTGACAAGACTCGACTGTGAAGCAGCAATGTTCAGAAGTAGGCCTACACACAGGCTGGATACACATCAGAGAGGACCCTGTCAGGCAGCCAGTGAAAGCTGTTTGCACTCCCTCTGTCAAGACAAAATTCCCTCTCATTCCCTCTCATTGTCTTACTCTCTCTTTCTAATCGACTCTTCTTTCATCTCTTTCACCAAAAACATCTGTCTTTACCTCCGCCTGCCTCTTTTTCTTCCCTCTCTTTCTGTCTCTCTTTCACTCGTAAACACACACACATATTCGAGCCTCCCACTGTTAGCAGAATGTGTAGTGGAGCCACCCGTACATCATGCGGGGGAGCCTGCCTAACTAGCTTCCCTACCATCTCACTATCTTCTGATCAAAGAGCCGCTAAACAGCCAGAAACTACAGCGGGTGCAAGAGCGGAGCATGCACGGCAACACAATTAGCAAGCAGCACTTTTTATATATTTATTTCAATTCCGCTCCCGATCCCTGACATCACAGCCGTGCATATGTGTGCATACACATTTGGTATGTATACACAAAAACATGAAAATACCTTATATTAAAGACTGTTTATGATAGCATCAGCCACTGATCTGAGCAACTTAGAGATCAGTGATTTCTAAGTTGCTCAATTAAAGTTAGTGAAGAGCCTTAACAGGGCAAGGAGAGGAGAAGAGGAGGAAGATCAAAGGGAATACGGAGAAAATCCTGGCAGAAGAAAGGGAGAGAGAGGAAGAGGAAGTGTGAGAGAGTGCAAAGAGACAGGGTGTGATGGGGAGAAAAAGGCTGAGGGTGAGGAAGACAGTGAAAGAGATGTATAGTACAGGAAGAGAGACGTAATGCTTACTGAAAAAGAAATTAAACGGACGCACAGCAAGCATGGACAAAAAACGTCGATCTGAAATTCCGGTTTCTGTTGTGATTAATTTGCTAATGAATTGATGTGTACTGTAAAAAAAAACATAAATGTACAAGAGAAAAGAAAGAGACAGGGCAGCTCAGAGGGCCAAGTTGATACATTAATGAATCATACATGGATAAAATAAATATGTGGCCTTTTTGGACGGTTCTCCTACGCAATACTGTAAATTAAAGCACCACTACGTGACTTTTGCAACACTAAAGGACACATTCATCTTCATTCACAAATTAAATGCTA